TCTGCTAATTTTTCTAACTAAATGGAGCTGCTTAAAAAGGCATGTAGTTTTTAATAGAATGGCCCTTAAATAGTGTGACCAATCAATCTGGCAGCAAAGCCTCTTCCCGTGGCAGACATGTGATCTTTTTATGTAGTTCTTTGTAATTAACTTCTGTTGTTGATAGCAGGCTAGCTATTTACATGTATGTTGATTGGGCCACCCAAAGAAGTACTGTCACCTGCAAATCCAGGTCTGTCTGAGATGTGCTTTTGGAAGGTCATCAGTACCGGTGGTATTGTATGTGAGGTGGAGATTTTCAAAGGAGTTCTTGCTTGTAGATTTCAAATAAGAATAGGATAGTAAAAGAATTAGTTAAAAATTGTTCAAAGGAACATTAAAAAAGAAAAAGACAAAACATCAGAATACTAAGTAAAAATTCACGATCAAGGCTTACCTTTAAAATCCAATGACTGAGGAGAGGCACACTGGAATGGGCTAACTCTATCGCTTGACAGAGGGAGAAACAGATGCGGATATTGTCTCAAGACTCTCAGTAATTTAGGGACAGGGATTCTGCAAGTGCTTATGGGTTTTAGCTTCAGAAGCCTTCCTAAAAGATGTGGAAATCATTAATGTTCCTAAACTCCCTCCACATGTGATAAAATCTTCATGTCCAACATTCTTTATATTGTGTGCTTACAGCCTGATTGGTTTATTGATGTACACTACTGTATACATCCTGGGTGCTCTTTTTAAGAAGTCTGCACCCTGGCTGACACGTGGCTTCTTCTTAACTTCCTCATTCACACAAATGTTTGTAGTTCTCAGCAGGAATTGTGGGAATATGTGTCCTAGTAAACTGCTGCTTTGCAAAAAGGCTTCTGCCTTTTTACAGGAGATGAGGAGAGATATCTCAGGAATGGAAGAAGGGTTAGAAATAGGAAGACAGAAATGCATGGAAAATGGTAATGCCTTCTGATCAATTCCACCTAAAAAGAAGGTGGTATCTGTGGCATTTTCCAGCACTAGCAAGGTCGACTTTTTTTAATTATTTTCTTTCAGACTCTCTTTAGATGCTGTGATTGATGATACTTTTGATACATTGATGATACTTTTTATGTATTTTTTAAAGATTGGTTTCTCTTACTGGTTTGGAGTTTATAGAGAGTATTTACCTAAGCACTTCTCATTAAGTCTTTTTATTAACCTGTGCCCTGCTACTCAAATGTGCTTATTTAATGGCTAATGGATGCTAATTCATACAGCATCATCATGAGTCTGTAAATAGTCTGTAAATAAATATCTTCAGTTAATTTTACAAATTCATTTTTAAATGGATGTATTCTAAATGAGTGAGAAGAAGCTGTCAATGGAATTAAGGTGGAAACTCACCTCTAGAGTAATTCTTTGAAATTCGGTATGTATACTGTTGCTTTTTGCAATCTGGAAGAAACCTTGATGAGCAGTTCAGGAGAGGACAGGGGAAAAGAAGGGAAGAAGGAAAGGAGGAAGAAGAATAAGACTATCTTTGTTGCTGCAGTTATCCTTTAGAAATAAATATTTTTTAAACTAGAACAGATACATTCAAGGGCTAAGTAAAGCATAGTCAGCTGTGAAGTGTATTATATTCAGGAATAGGCCTGGTTTCTACTCTCATCCTATAGATAAATCAGTGGCCAATGTTTATTAAGGGTAAAATGTTATCTGCTTTTTAAATACAATGATTTTTTTCTTGCTGTAATGTGTTATAAAAAGGAGTAGTTCTGCTAAGGGGGTTTCTTAATACAATTGCTACAGAGTTGTGCAGAATATTTTCAAGGCACTTGAGAGCAATATTTTAGACTAGGATTTTATGTAGTTCTATCAGTATGTGGGAATGTCTTCTGTAGCTATTTACTCAGATAGATGTACACAAAAGTTGGGAATCTCAGCAGTGCACATGGCTGCTTCAGATCTTAATAGAGAAAGTATTTCTAATGAAGAATCTGGAGTAGTGGGGGAAAACTCAAGGTCATAATAATGGGAGAGCATGAGAGCGCTACATTTTTGTTTTTTCATGACCAAGGATAGTTCTGTTCAGCTCTGGATGTTTTAATATGTCTGTATTCTAAAGTCAGTACAAAAAGAATAAATGCAAGAAGAGTAAATTACAAAAAGAATAATAGATAAATTAGAGACATTTTTCATCTTTCTAGTATCACTAGAAGCAAATGTGTTAGTAAAATAAATTACCTCAGGACCACATTATTTTCACAAATGACGTGAGAAGTACATTTGAAATCATTCATCCAACACAGAGTTGGAAACTGAGAGCTTTAAGCTTCTATAACGTTCATTTAAATAAGCAATATAGAAAAAGCTGTTCAGGATCCAAAAACTAAGACAATCCTTTATTATAGGCAAATGAAATGTTAGATAGCTACAATTCATTGCACAATTAAACTTCAGTGTTTTTCTACACAGGCTTCATAGACAGGGTAGATATTTGTCATTTTTGGTTCTATAGAATGAATCAGAGAGAGGGTACACAAAGCAATGTGGTGATCTTAGTGTTTTAAGGTTTTTTCTTGTTTAAGCCCAATTTGAAGTTCTGCTTCATTTTACACTCCTGTGTGCGAGTGCTAAATAGCCCTCTTTTCTTCTGGTTCTGTGGTTAACAGAGCACTTTGTTAGTCACTGTGCCTGCTTGTGGTAGTAAGTAATCAGTGTCCACAGTCATAAATATTTGCAGGGACAGGACTCTTGTCTTATAAATTGCTTTGGATTGGGACTGCGTATTCCATAAGGGCAGGTCAGTGAGGCATATTTTTTAAGCAAATAATTCTTTTTCTTTTCATTATCAAGAGACCTCTGGAGTCAAGAATAGCAAGGCAGTAAAAGAGAAGGAATTAATTTTTATCATTGCAGATCTAGGTATAAGCTGTACCAGGAATGGCTCCTTTTGAGATCTCTAGGAAAATGATTTGAGGGATTATTATGCTTCCAGGCCTTCCTCTGTCAACATTCCCATTTGTCATAGGAAAGATGTTTGTGTGTCCTCTCCAGCTCACCCAACACTGTCAAATGTTCACTGTTTCTCCCTTTGATGCTTATGTAGGCAACATGCTGCAACAATTTGTCATAGCTCAGCTTTCCTATGCTTCTAAGCATAAGGCTTGGAAGGGCCTTCCCACTGGGCAGGCACTTTCTGTACATAGTTCCGATCTCAAGGCAGCTCTTTGGCAAACACAACAGCTTTATGGACTATCAGAGGTTCATCTTTCTCTGGCTTCCAAAATGTGCTGGAGAAATCTCATGAGAAATAGTGCTAGCTGTGTGTACGGGAGATGCAGCTCTTCACAGATACTGGCACAGTCTTTCAAAGCATTTCTGTGACGGTGAAGAAAGAGGCATTCTCAGGTGTTGGTAGTTAATGAGCCACACATAGGCTCTGGCTGTAGCTCAGACAGAGGACAGCGAGTTAAAGCCTTACTGAAAAGAAATATGAGTCAGATAGGCACTTTGGTGTGCCAGCTCTCTATCTTGGAGTGTGAAGTTTGTATTCCTATGGGAGCTGTTTCACTCTTCAGGAGTCTTCCTCCACAAGGAAGGAAAGAAGGAAGGAAGCATAGATTTTATAGAATAGTTTTGATTACTGTCAATTTGAGTTTGCAATCTCTAGTTTTGTGATTCTTGAAAATGCTAAACACGTTAAAAGCTCTTGAGTGCCACAACCCAAAACAACATATTATAAGGCAAATGTACAATGGTTCTTGCAAGTGGGAGAGTAAGTTCAGGTTCTCTTCAGTAAAGAAAATGTAACCTAGGTCATCATATCCTTGCTGTCTTATCCACTGTCTCTCATTGTCTGAGCATTTAAGGTGACTCACTCAAATTGCTGCCTCCTCCCTTAGTGCTGCATTTCCTTTGCTGCTTCACAAGCCACATTTTACTTTAATGCATCATTCAACCGAATGTTTGCTTGCTTGTTTTTCCTTTCCACAAATAGTCTAAATAAGTACATTGTGAGAGAAATAGAACTGAAGTTATTTTAATTGTTTTGAGCTTTGCAGCCTTCTTGAGCACCACTCTATTTATTAGATGGCAATTACATTTTTGGCGATGTAGAAATAGAAGCAATTGGATGTGACAAATAAATCATTCTGGCCTATATATAGCTTCCATATATTAAAGACTTCAGAGAATGAAAGCATGGCTGACAAATTATCAGGCAAAACAATTATGGTATATAAAAGACTTGGCATCTTTTTCCTTATTTTTTCATCAAGTCTGAAGTTAGTAAAGTAGGCTTGATAGAAGTCTGTAATTGCTTTATTTGTTAAAAGCTATCGTAAATGATTCAGGCTTTGAGGAAAGAAAAAGTCCTGTCAGTCTCTCCTTTTGTGTTCCCTCAGTCTGCTTCCATTACCCACTTCAAGGTTTTTGCTTTCTCTACCAGGCAATGTGCCAAGAGGCAAGAGGGTTAAGCAGGGCTTAGTTCTGCTTCTAGTCTAATGCCAATTACAGCTCTGTGAATCAGCCCTTCCTGCAACCAATCTCAGTAATGTTCTTCCTCAGAGTGGCTCGTTTCATCATGTTGCAAACGTTATGTCAGGAAGCCCTGCTTCACTACAGGTGCCAGCATTGAGCACACTGGCTTGCAGTAAATAATTAGCAGAAGAATTACAACTTTCTCTTCTCTTTTCTTTTACCATTCTGTTTCTTTTACCTTTCTGTTTTTTTCTTTTTTAATGCAAATAGTTTTAACGTAAGTGTATGCTGCTGCATCATCTGCTGGCAATTTTTGTCTTTGTGGCTCGCAGTCACAAAAGCCTTGTTATGTATCAGAAAATCAAGTGACATCATGACAGAAGTGAAAGGGTTGTTTTAAATGCCCTCTTAGAGCAGTATTTTTCTTAAGGTGCTTTTTCAATTTCTAGGATTTTAGAGTTTACAGGTAATACTCTTATGTAGATTTCTGTTATTTTGGAGGAGATACAACTCAACTGATATATATTTACTGTTTTATTTCTTCATAGATATTTTGTTGTTCATAACACAGAAGAAGATAGGTATTTCACCATTGATGCTAGCACTGGGACCATCAAGACTGCCAAGATCTTTGACAGAGAGGAAACACCTTGGTACAACATCACAGTGGCTGCTTCTGAAATAGGTAAATAATACATAATTTTATGGAAAATCTTAAAAAGGAAAGGATTAATATTTGATAAGAAATACTGTGTTTGGACATTAGGGTCTTTTCAGCAGCAGATTTTTTTTTTAACCAGTTTGAATAAAGGCAAGCTTTCTGTGTATATGTGATTTCTGTAATTCCACAAAACAAACAAACTAAATGCTATATGCTGATGTGATTCCATCTATATAAATTTGTCACATTTTGCTTCGTATGGTAGAAGGCTGTCAGTTAACACAGGAATATTTTCAGGCCATTCTGTGTCTAGTCTGTCCCATTTGTGTATCATATTTCATATATCTCAGAAGATAATACTGTATATTTGCATCTGAGAAAATCATCCTTACTTTTTGTATGTGTTATTAACATAGTATTAATGGTTTGCTTGTTAGGTATACCTGTAATACCTTACATCTGCTGCTGCCTAAAGGTTGTTGGTTATCAGGGAGTTCATATGGCCTTTTAATAGTTAAATTGCCAAGTGGAGCTCGAGCAGGTGGCTGAACTAGATGATCTCTAGAGGTCCCTTCCAACCTCAACCATTCTGTGATTCTGTGTAAACATGAGGTAAAGGCTTCTGGTACATTCCAAAAGCCTCACTCAAATCTGTTAGGAATTCCATGGCCTCAGACAAGCCACAATCACAGTCCAGAAATGTCTTGACTAAGAAGGTCCAGATAAATATTTTCACACCAAGCAGGCACAATTAAGATAATAGTTTAAACAAATGAACATTTCAGTTGTATTTTTATTAAAGGATTTTTTTTTTTTCAAAAAAGGTTAAAAAAATCTCAGTCTCAAGCAAACAAACAAAAAAATCCCAGGCTGGATCAGTATATCCAGTTACGTTAAGTTCTGTTAGTGATGCAGTCTTTCAAGGACAGTGACTTTGATCCAGAAACTGAATTTTCCTGTGTATTCTTTCCTTTTATTTTTAATTTATTTTTTTATTTTGCTTTCTGAGTATTCCATCATTGCTGGATGATGCAATGTAGTTTTAACCTGAAAAGCACCATTGACATTAGTGGCTTCCTTCTGCTTTCAGCTTTTTCATTTCCTGATTAAAATGGCATTTGGTTTACCACTATACTACTAGCATACGCATACATATTTATAAGCGGAGCAGATTGGTTTTGATTAATATAATGGCTTTTGCAATTGAATTAAGATTTGGAACTAAGTAAATTTCTATTGTAAATAGTAAAATCTAGAGTCTTACAGTTAGTTCTTAAAAAAAGGGTAACCAGGTCAAATAGACAGATAGTATCCTCAGCAAGTGAGGTTTAATTAGGAGCTACATTGGGACATGTTGAAAATGGAAAGCAGTAGCCACTAGGCTTTTGGAGAAAACATCCAAAAGCAATTATTTTGCAGAAATAAAAAGCATTAAGCTTTAATGTTGTTTTATGTACATTAATAGTCAAGTGAGTGAACACATACCATGCTAAAGAATTATGCTTATGACTAAAAGAAAATTGTATGAGTAATGAGAATGAAATACCAGATTTTTAAACATAGCCTGCTTAGAACTTTCCATTCTAGGAAAGTATGGATCTTGCTTTTTTTCCCTTTGCATGTCTCCTTACTATTAAATTTGAGGTTGAGGAGATAAGTAAATCCATAATGTCAGTTTGATAAAAGTTCTCATATAAAAAAGGAAGAGACAGCAGTGAAGAAGAGATAGGTGGGTGACAGACTGACAGGCAGCATAAATGTTAAATAGCCTTCCCTTGTGTCCCCTTCTTAAACCATTTTCTTATATAGAACAATTTAAAAAATACAGCAGTGCTCTACTGTACCAAATCCATTATGAAATGGGTAATTGGGTCTACGGTAGGAAAAAGAACATATACTGTGCCCATAGCATCAAGACTCTTGTTTCCTTAAGTGCTATCTGCTACAGTAGCTACAGCCCATGTGTGGCATTTACTTTCAAGTCCACGTAGAAGGCATTGCAGAATTAAGACGGAAGCTGAACACTGTGCCCAAAATTTCATTTAGTCATGAGAGTGACAGTCTTCAAGGTAGTGTGACAGGGTACAAGTAATTTGTAGCTTCTGACATCCCCTTGCTTAGCCAAGAATATACAAGGCCCAGAAGGACTATGCTACTTCAACAGTAAGAGGTGCTCTGCTGAAATAACATTGCAGTGGCTATTTTCTTGGCATGTTTTCCTGTCTTTGCTTAATGTTGCACTACATTGACAGTTTTCCTTCTCCTGATTATCCTTTGGGCAGCTATTTATAGCTACCCTTACATTATGTGAAGGAAATTTAGAATCAGTGTCATATTTCTGTGCTCGTACTGAGGATATGCTCATGTTTCAGACCTTTTGCTTCCAAACCCTTCATAAGAAGTTTGCGTTCTCCATGAGTGTGTGGAGTATTCTCTGCATTGATCGGCTGTGCCCGCCAAAATCAATGATAGTTGATTGCCTTTCTGGGAGTAATGCTAATGTAGTGATCAGTGATTTTTCAATTTATATAAATGCAAGAGTTCTTTGCTAGGAGAATTGGATGATCCATTTCTTCTTTAACATGCTGTATTCTTTAACTGTAGGATACAATGAGGACAAATGTTGTTTTGTTATGTTAGTACTATGTTAGTAAAGTTCTTGTAATGCTAAGGAAGGAGAGAAAGTGGGTGACAAAATACTCTATTTTTCATTAAAGGATCTATGGACTGTATTTGGGGTGAATGAATAGATTAAAATTGCTGTGAACAGGATTTAAAACTATAGTTAACGTAGAATTATTCCCATTTCATTAACTTACTAGCATTCTTTTGGAAAGTTTATCAAATAATGATCAAAAGAGGAAAGGAGATACAGTTTGCTTGGCTCGAGTCAAGGTGTTTGATTAAGTCTTTTATAAGGGTAAGGGAAATCAAAGGAGAGCAAGAGCACAAAGTTTCATAAACAATGAAATAATGATTCAAAGAAAAGAAATACAGCCTTTGTGAATGGGAGTGGAAAAAGGTGCGGTGGAGCTGCGTTAAGGATTGATGTAGAATGGATGTCAATTGAACTTCTTTGTAATGAATGAAATGGAATTCTTTATAATGAATGAAATGGGCAGCAAGTAATTGAGATTTCCAAACAACTCTTTTAGATGCTGAGGGTAAGTGAAAATTGAGTGAAATTCATGCTTGAAGTACAGTCTACATAAATGAACTTTGAGAACAGTTCTAACCCTCTGAAAACTGCCTGAACAGCCTGGCCCAAAGTGTTGTGATGACTTTCCCAGTAAAGTGAAGCTCAAAGTCCTGCGCCTGGGGAGGAATGATCCCATGGACCAGGACAGGCTGGGGGCTGACCTGCTGTCAAGCAGCTCTGCTGAGGACCTGGGGGTCCTGGTGTACAACAAGTTGATCAGGAGGCAGCGGTGTAGGCCGAATAGACCAATGGTTTCCTGGTCAGCAATAGGCAGAGCATTGCCAGCAGGTTGAAGGAAATGATCTTTCCCCTCAACTCATGAGGTGAGGCTACATCTGGAGCACTGTGTCCAGTTCTGCACTCTCTAGTAGAAGAGGGACACACGGAGCAGCAGCTCAATGGAGCTACTCACGCCGTAGGAGAGAGTCCAGTGTCAGGCTGCTAAGATGATTAGATGTCTGGAGCATCTCTCTTATGAGAAAGGGCTGAGAGAGCTGGGACCATTCAGCTTGAAGAAAAGACTGGTGGAGAATCTTGTCCATGTGTATAAATATCTGATGAGAGAAAGTTAGAAAGGGACCAATACTGCTTAATGAAAGAACAGGAGCCGATGAGCACAAACTGAGATGAAAGAAATTTTATTTAGACATACGGAAGTATGTATACACTGCGGGGGGTTGTTGAAAATTTTGCCCAGAGAGGTTTTTCAGCCTGCTTCCTTGGAGAAGCTCAACTCCTAATGGGACAAAGGCTTGAGCAGTGGGCTGTAGCTAACCCTGCTTTGAGCAGGGGAGTTGGTCCAGACAATTTCCAAGAGATCCCTTCCACCTGCAACTATTCTCTGCTTCAGTGATTCTGTGATATTAAAAACAGTCAAAATAAATACACTGGAGAGGGGAAAGGATAACCATTTTTCACAAGTGCTGATGTGTTCCAAAGGAAAATAAATGATTTTATAAATAACTGTGGGATACTCCGTTAAGATTTCTCTCTAGTATATAGCAATGCTGATAAAAACATCAGCAAGAGAAATAACAGGAAAACCCAAAGTCATAGCCAGTGCATGAGAAAGACAGTACTAAAATATAAATGAGCGGACCTCTGCAAGTTCCAAAGCCAGGTAAAAAAATATATTTCAAACTAGAAAAATAAATATATACTTTGAAGTTTTCAAAGCACTGATGCAAGTTGGATAAAGTTTTTGAGTTCAGTAAGAAGAAATACAAGCTTAGGCAGAACAGTAACACTAATGAATGAAGGAATTCAGAGAATATGTTGAGAATTAGACTGAGATTGTCTTCCTGCAGAAATTACTACATAGAAATAAAGCAAGAAAGGCTTTTTTTTCAGAAAACTCATTTTGGGAAATGATTCTAACAACTGAACTAACTGTTTCTGAGATAGAGCACAAATAGCTTCTATATATTTTATCCGGATGATGTTAAGGCAGGAGATTACTGCAGTTCATAAAGTACTGGACGTTTATAAGGATAATAATATTTCTGGTTGTAACACGAAAACATGATTTTTCGGAGAGATAAAAGTGCTTATATCTCATGGCAGATTTAACTATTTCCATTTCAGGGATTTAGAAGATAATTTTGGAAGGGAGATTTCCATATCTTTCTCTTGTGCAGCTAGTAATAACTGCCATGGAAAATCTTCCTTCTTTCCTTCTGCACATGCATTTCTAAAACCAGTTTCACAGGAGAAGATAACAGAGTGCTGATGTAGAGCAACAGCTCACTGACAAAATATGCAATGCCCTGTGATGTGGTATTGAAAGGATCCTAGGGAAACATAGTCATTATAAAACCTACACAAG